CTGCGCGATGGGAAATGGAAACAATATGACCCTGGTCGAGTGCATGGGCAGATCCTTCACCACTGGGGCGATGACCTTGCGCATTAATTGTCGAGCGCGTGTGCATGAGTGCACGCGGTCATCGCTTATCCTTCTTTAGGAATTCGGGACGTAGCAAAACGATCTTTACTCATTGCTTTTCTTCTCTCCGGTAAAATTCCAGAAGTTCAGCCACAGTACTCTACTAGAAATTTATACTTTTCTTGAAGTGGCAATGCCCCTTATGAGCTCTTTTTCATGAAATCTAAGGGCAGACCTCATTTCCTAGCTTGAATGTTCATAGTTTTTTTTTAATATTAGGCTTTGGACTTTGGAAGTCATAAGCTTTGCAGTGGTTCTTTTCCTATGCCTTTCATCTCTAATTGCCTCGTTATTGAATATTTTTATTTACTTATGTTGCCTTGGCTGTAAGCAGCAAGACAAGCTTCATAGTTCTTCAGTTTTGTATAAGATCTTCAATTGGCATCAGGCCAAAGAGCCCAGTAACAGCTGACAAGTATTCGTACTTCTTGGAAGTTTAGCTTTCGAACGTGATAATTGCCCGATTTTCTGGACGAATTTTCTCGGAATCTACCCACCGTAACAGATTATAGTCGGTATATGGTAATGTGATCATTGACTTGTAATTCAGGGGGAAAGTAATAATAATTCTTGAGGAGGCGGAAATATGGCGAGAAGCCTCCCGATAGTGACATATGGGTTCAATCAGGATGATTCGTCCGGTTGTTCCTGTTAGCGGGAAGGAATTGGACCAACCTGGGAATTGTCTATCTTATTAATTCATGGGGAAGGATTTGCCTATCCTTTGTATCTTTGAAATTCAGTCGCATTACTGTGCTGTAGCTATAAGGTTGTGTCCCTCAAGGAGTTTGTGTATGGGTTTCTTTAAGTGATGGTCTGAATTTGATGTGTCATTTTGCTTTGGGTTAAGTAAATATTTTGTCTTGATCAGAGCCGTTCGCTATGATAGCGCTGGCCGTAATATTTACTTGAACTTTAGGTGTTATTTCTACTTTATTGTAAACGTTTCGTCTTGAAGGAAAATATATTCTTTTTTTTCTATTCACACTTATTTTTTATGTATTGGAAAAGTAAAGCCCTTTGGTGTTGACTAATATCGTTTTGATTTGCGGTGTCCAGCTAATGTACAAGTCGCACCTTTCACTCTTCTAGACGAGTATGGTACCAATTAGTCGGTATAGGAGGGGTAGAAGACTTGGTCGACCTAAGGGATATCGATCCGGGATTCGAACCGTGGATCATGCGTATACGGTACTCTACTTGTCACTACACCACCTCGCCCCTTTCCATGACTTAATTTTACATAATTATAATTTATAGGCCGACTGCTAAGTTTGTGAAAGCTCATTTTTGATGGTCATCTCAAGAAAGAAATCAGTCTCCTACATCCTTATTCCAGAAATGACATCTCTTTCATTCTAGTCTGTCACGTGCCCAGCAAGAGAAGGTATCATTCCCAGCGGTGGCAAACCCCTCATGTTCAGGGTCACATTTCACAAAACTGAACAGGTGCGGGAGAAATGTCCAGGCTGTTTCCATTCATCTTCGTTTTTCGATGTTCCAGAAATACGACCACCTGCCTTTGTTTTTGCTGTCCTTCATTCTAAACTATGAGGAGCATGCATATAATGGCAATAATTTCTTTTTCTACTTACCTTACAAGTTGAACTATGTTTGAAAAAAGTTTCCTTTAAATTTTATGACACAAGGTGACTCCTCTAGAAGGCAAAAGCGTACTGAAAAGTTGGCTAATCCCATCATTCCTTGAATGGGGCTTGAGTTCCGTTTGGATGGCTCTGTGGTTCATGGCGCAACTTAAGCAGACTGACGTAGAAGATGGTGGTGCCCTTCAGTTGGTGTCCCTGAACCTAACGATGAGTACGTGGACGCATTCCGCACGAGTTTCGCGCTTTGATTCCGATCAGGGTCGAGCGTGGGTTGCGTAGCTGTCATGTAGGATCATATTAGCTCGTATGGGAAAGTTGGGATATTGTTCACAGAAGGGTATAAGAACCGCGTCCACAACGATCTGTAAATTCTGAATGATTTCCATATTAACCCCGGCAAATTTGTTTTTGCAGTGGGTGTGTAGTATTAAGGGGAAGGAGAATGTTATAATTTGCTGGGCGATTCGGAGGACGTACTAATGGGTTTCCGTTACGAAGTACTTGACCCCAATTCCGACCTCATTAGTAGTGCCCCAGGTTCATACTTCTTCTATACCTGCTGGTGTTCTATTCGCAAGATGTGAACCCTAAACCATTTCTGGAATGCCCTTTAACTTGTAACCACCTTTCATCTCTTCAGTTCTGCCTTGCTGCTCAAATTAGATATAGCAATTTTTTCGTTACTACCTGAAAACCATCTCAAGCGGTGATCAATCTTATATACGTTTTCATTAAAGGGGCCATCCTGTGGGGTCTTAAACAGCCGTTTTCCAATATTTCACGCCATTGAATTTTAATGTTCTAAAATAACCTAGAAAATCGTAGAAGTAGAGTCTAAAAAACTGCCGAAGTTCAGAAACAAAGTCTTGATTGATCAGGGTAGGTTTAACCCTGAAAGGTCTATAAACAGGTTAAATGATATTTGTATAAAGTTGTATTTGAACCCTTCAAAGTAAGATTAATATCTGTCTACTGCCCCGTTACTTGCCTTAAATGCAATCTCTCAATGAGTTTGCTTTATGGGGGCTCTTCCCAACTATGGCTTAGGATTCCTCGCTTTTATTTAAGCATGGAAATATTCTAAACCTTGAATTCTTTAGCTTTTGTACTCCTTGGTATCCTTCTCCTTTTTTGGTCATATAACTGGTAACAGGTATACTCTTATATTGTTCTATCATCCCTTTGTCCCGTCAGTAATCATCTCGGCCTTACTTTTTTCGGTGGCATATATTTTGTTCTTGGGTGTTCTCCTTGCCGTGGAATTCACGTCCGCTTCGAGCATGTGTCCCACCATTATATGTGACTTTTCTTCCTATCCACAGTTCTGTTCGAGTTATACTGCATTGCATGTATATCATACTGATTTACAGAGGTCCATTCTTGCTGTAAAATAAGAAGGAAAACGCTGAGGTCATTCTGCGGAAGCAAGCAACTGAGTTTTCCGATTTTTTGACCAGTTCTGATACTTGAAAGGTATTTTGAGAGTCGATTCCCCTGGATTATCAATTGTTTCTTTCATGAAAAGAAGTTTGCCTCATCATAAGGGTTTGGAAAAAATGGTGCAACTTTGTCCTTTCCACGGTGCTCCAGCTCCACATGGATCATTAAGCAACTGTGTAATTTGACGTCCGTGCGCGCTTCCAATCCATCTGTCTCGGTCAATTTTTTCGCTCGTTCCTTCGGTTGAAAAAGATTGGATTTGTGTCATAATAGTACGAAACCTGAAGGGTTATGGATGGCCTCATTTCTTTTTAGGATCTGTGTCAGGCGCTATTTCTATTTATTTCTCCCACTACAGCGTAGTTATTGGACCTTTCTGATGGATGGTTCATTTGTTTCTGTGTCTCCCAAGGCTTTTTCTTTGAGAATTCCGGAAGTTTCCTTGATAGCGCCTGTTCCTGTGTCCTTCGACTTTGGTGTTTTTCTTTCACTTCAAGATCTCAACGATCAGATCTTTGTTGCTTCGATCGCTTCCCTTTTGTTTGGGATACTGAGGATAATTAATGGAACCCATTCAGTGGGAACTGCGCTCGTGTTCCTTCCCCGGGAGGCGCAGAGTTCGTGCTAGCCCGACATCTGGCTGCTTCTGGGACTGGGAAATCCTATCCAAGCAGAAGATATGTAGAGTTAAGCACATGCGGAAGATTTTGAAAAAAGATCTCATGAGAAACTGCGGACGGGATTAAAGTCGCCAGAACGCCTAAGCTGGCCTAGTGCTATCAGTGGCAGTTGGGGAACACTCAAAAAGAACGTAGCGAAAAGGAGATGCTTCACTATTCGGGTGGCTTCGTTTAATTTTGGAACTATTTCCAAATTCTCAAAGGTTCAGGATCGCATTGTCTGAAAGCTGCTCTGACCAATTGGCCAAATGGATAGTGGTACCGTTTTCTTTGTCTGTAGGATCAAATTTCGTCGAGGACAATAGGCCTTCCTTTTTGTGCGGGCGAAGTAGATCGTATCAGGTTGAGGGTGGATAAGAAAAGTGATTGAAGAAGCATTGGCCGAGCCTTCACTATTTGAAGAGCCTTATTCCAATTTTTTTTTATGATTCTGGACTGAGATTGGACGTACAAGGAGGAGCCTATTGGCATTGAATCGGGCACCATACTTTCTTTTCATAATTTCATGGTCCATTCCACATTTGTCGTTCTGCTAGTGCAAAGGAATGAAATAACTTACTTTTAAACCATGATGGTTGGTTCTACCACTTTCAATTGGCTCAATTCCTTTTTGTGACGATTGCCAACTGTTTGCCGTGGACGTTGTCTACATTGTCGCCCACTCTGTTTTTTTTGGCATTCGTTCATTCGTATTCATGGCTATTTAGGTGATCGCTAACTGAGCGCGAGGACCAGTTGTCGGGTTTTCTTTGTGCCCGTTTGCACTAAATCGACAACAGCTGGAACACTTTGCGCGCAAGAATTTCCATTGATGTTCGTTTTTCTAAGGCCATAGTGCATTGTGTCGTTCAATGGAATGGCTTTGTTATTTTCCCGTTTGTGTTTGCACGGTTCTTTGTAATGGATGTTGCTTTCCGGGACGAAATATTCCGGTGAAATTTTTCTTTGGGAGGCAAACAGGTATGGGAGTGGTAATTCTTCTTAGAAGGCGTCACGCCTGCGGAGTCGGCTCAGAATCGTAGCGGCATTTGATTCTCTTCGCTACTCGTTCCTTGAATTGCAGCGCTTGCCTTCGAGCTCGATAATTGAAACTTCCCAGAAAACTTCTTGTGGAAAGGTCAGTCGCACGGAACCCGACTTTTTGAACGATGTAATGCGATGCGGTGGATCTGTGAACCACACCAAATCCGTCTGCGTTCCTTTTGGAATTGCAATCGCCGGAATGTTTTCTCTCCTGTGGGAAAAGGATGGACTGGAGTGGGTTGTATATCCCGACAAAGAAGAGGCACATCTTAATCCACCTTTCGATTCTGGTGGAATTTCCTGGCCGATTGCTGTGATCTCATGGTATAATTCGGTGTTTGGGATTGAAAGTCGTTCCGATTTCGCCCGAACCTGGCCAGTCACCCATTAGGGTCAACACCAATGCCGGTAGAACGGTCTTTCTTGTGGAATTGGTAAACTAGCGTCCATTGGGCATTGGCGTTGTTGATTGGTGAATGAGTGACCAGGTTTGGATGAAATCGGTGAGTCAGTTGAAGCGCCGCTCCGCAGCGATCGAAAATCTCTTCCATTAATCTTCATATATCAGTTCCCCACGTTGTGGAGCTGCTGAAACGTGTATCGCTGGCATGGCTCATTTATCAAATACCGCATAGCTGCTATCCAACAAAAGAACATTTGAATAGTGTGACACTTGCTTTTTCAAGAAAGACAGAAATGAACTGTCACCCAACTGGCGTTATCCTAATTTATTGAGACCGTTGGTGAAGTGATACGATTGAATCGAAAAACTATAAGGCGCTCTAAGGGAACTCATCTCTATTTATTTTTCGTTCAAGAAATGATTCATCTTGCCTGTCCCGACATATGGGGCTCTTGGTAGGTCTTTTTGAGAAGCGTGGTCTGCTGCAGAGAACTCCAACCGGGAAAATGTCATTCCTACTGTAGTTCTTTCGTTTCCTATGGAAAAACATCTTTCGGCTACGGAAGTGAGAAACGGTTCAGTCTCTTTGCACTAACTCCTCCACCTCAGTTGTCGTTCTTCTTCGGTTTTCCGACATCGTTAGCTTCTAAAACTTTATCTGTAGGATACCTAACCTACTGTCTTGGACGGCTTATCCTGGGAGAACAAAAAGATCC